GCACATTTCGATTTCCGTAAACGGCTGCGCTTGCTCGGGGGCTACATTCTGCAGCGTCACTGATCGGAAGAACTTAGAGTTCCTGTCTCGACGGAAGTTCATTTTTGGCGTTGAGTATAAAGCTAGACCGAGTTCAACCACTGGAGTTTAAAGCACTTGTCACGGTTGGGACATTGCCCTGTTGGGAGGGACACTTGAAGAAACACTGCAAACCGACGTGTAGTTCGGCGTAAGATTTCACATTCCAGCATACACTATGTGATCAAAAATATCCGGACACGTCGGAAATGGTGTTATGGTGTGGTCGTGTTTTTCATGGAAAGGACTTGCATGGAGGGTGCTCATGTTGGTTTGTGTGGCACTATCATGGCACAGGTCACCTTGATGTTTTAAACACTTTCTTGCTTCCTTATCTTGAAGAGCAATTGGGGGATGGCGATTGCATCATTCAACACGATCGAGCACCTGTTCATACAGTACGGCCTGTGGCGGAGTGGTTACACGACAATAACATCCCTGTAATGGACTGGCCTGCACAGAGTCCTGACTTGAATCCTATCGAACACTTCGTGCCAGGCCTGACCGACCTACATCAATACCTCTCCTCGGTGCAGCACTCCGTGAAGAATGGACTTCCATTCCCCAAGAAACCTTCCATTGATAATTTGCCTTCGAGAGTGGAAATTGTCATCATGGATAAAGGAGGGCCAACACCCTACTGAATTTCAGCATTACCGATGGAGGGCGCTACGAACTGGTAAGTCATTTTCAGCCATGTGTCCGAGACTTTTGATCACACAGTGTAGAAGAACCGCCACCTCCCGGGATATAGCTTGCAGCACCCGTTCGAGGCTAACGATCATTCATAGCATAGTAGTCGACGAGCCCAGAAAAGCTAAATAATATATCGACTACCATTAAAATTGTATTTTGCTGTTTAATATTAATTTTTATTTGAGTTTTCGACCACATTTTGCAGTTTCTGACTCAAAATACAATAATGTGATTAAGATTTAATTTTTATTTCAATTTTATCTCGGTATACATTTTCCAAATTTTCCAAGGCACAACCTATCTATAATTAGGATACAACACCTTGGTCGTAATGTAAACATTCGTCCTTATTTAAACAGTACATAGAGACATAAAAACTATATGTATCACGTGAATATCTCATGTTTTACTTAACATCATTCTTAATATTTAAAATTCAAAAACACTAGAGTAAAAATTTAAAAAGTTAAAAATGTCCCAAAGTACGTCTTCCCCAACGGTCTTTTGATCGTTAAAATAGCTTTGTAAGTTTTTTTCTCCATTTTGTATTCACATGCAAAGTACGTAAATGACAATTAATCAATGTAAATAGTTCCTTCCACTTTAGACTTTTTATAGCTTCGGACAAACAAAATTAGTTTAATTTTATGTTTCGGGGAATAAAATGTAGATGTCGTTACTTTGTCCCCCAAACACAGTTTTGTCATGAAGTACATTCAAAATGCAAACCCATTCTTTGAGATTCCTATCCCAGTAAAATGCAGTTCATGACAAGAAAATCTCATAATTGATATACGAAACTAAGTAAACATGTGGGTAAGTGAAGGAACAACTTGCGAAAGAAAAATACAGAAATATAAATAATTTGAACCTCACAGTGGGAGTACTCATAAACGTATAATCAAGTAAGTAAACAGTAAAATACAGTATTTAAGTACCAAAACGACTCTTTAGAAGACGAACGAGAAGTACACAAACTACTTTTAAAACGTGATAAGAGTTTAAAAAGTGGCATTGAGATGTCCTCAGAACACATTACAGAACAAGACGCACGTAGATAATGAAAAGGTCTAATCGAGGCACCTTCTTTTAATCGAGTTCTTAGCAGGTGCGATGAAAATCGATCAGGCTGAATGCTAATGCGCGAACTCTCAGTCGCTGATAAGGAATCTACATTTCGATTTCAGGTGTAAAATTCTGTAATTAATATCAGGTTGCTCGTTAATGGATAACCGGTAGGAACTAGTCTCATACAGAAACTTTCTGATACTTGTGAGTTGTAGATTAGCTTGAAAATCGTCATTAGTCTGTAGATAAGTTAAATGAGCACGTGTGTAAACCGGTTTGTAGTGGTATCAACTAGCGTTGAGTCTTTTATCTAAGGAGAAGAAGATTAATTCAATGTAAAGATATTTTATCTTTTTATTACATGACACATCTTATGTTCTGAAAACTAGTAAAATTAATAGTTTGAAGCACTAATTGTATTGGTATTTTCTGACTATGAAAATAAAATGTAAATTATTTTTCCTTTACAATTAATAGACTTACTCTTAAATTGAACCTACCTTTAAAAACACTCATGAAGAAATTAAAATTCTAGCAGTAAATTGACCACTTTCTTGAGAAAGATTAAAATAAATACACTGGTGTTTGTGAAAGTGACAAGTTTGTGCAACACTCAGAAGTAATGGTCGGAATCACAAAATATCGGTGGATGTGTAGAACAGTGTATCCGTAAGAATCGATTTAATTTGCATAGCGATAGCCTGTTCGTTGGGCTAGCAGCGCCGTCCTTTGGGTGACAAGCCAGATCAGTGTTACCCCACACTCAAAATGTGTTGAACAGTCAAACCACGTGAAAACGTACAAGCAAATGTCGGTATGCCTCGTCGATGCCAAAGTGCGCAATATCTGCATCTGAGCGAGTTCGAACGGGGACGAATGATCGGTCTCCGGGAGGCGGGTTTGTCGAACCCTGACATTGCGGCTCGAACGGGGCGCGCTGCTATGACAGCGATGCGTGTGTGGGCCAGTGGATAGAGGAGGGTCGTACACAGCGACGCACGAGAATTCTAATGACTGGCTGCTCTGATCAATCGCTTTCCAACCAATGCCACGTGAATGCCGAAACAGTACCCTAACAAACCGGCCTCGGGCCGCACGCGATATTTCCTTCCTCTTCCTTGTCGTCTCCTCGCCCATTACATACACACAATTAAATGCACTACTCTAGAACACATGTCGCGCGACCAGAGCTTGTTTTTGCTGAGATGGTGCCACGCTGGGGCTGAGATACCTAGTTAGGGAAACCCCGTAAGCCTCTCTGTAGATCGGTGCCAGATCTCATCATCCAGCAAGGGAAGAACACTATCTCCTTCCTTGATATAACATTAATTAAGCTTAAGGGACTAATCAACACAGCAGTTGACGCGCTCCATAACATGCAATTATCAGTCAATCTGTGGCAAGAGTTGTGAGTCAATCGCAGTACAGAGTGAGTGTAGAGAGTCCGAAGCAGAATGAGCCTCTCATTTGGTGACATCACCCTCGCAATCTTCATGGAAGTAGCACAGATAAACACGACATTCGCAGCCTTTGCTCTAAAACTATTCCTTTGGTTGAGAAGAACTATGCAGACAAAACAACGAAAGTTCGGTAGATTGCAAGGAATTCTTTGACATTCCTTACCTACTATGATTAACTGCCGGTGGTTCTATATAAAGAAGTCTTCAGCAGTTTGTATGAGAGCAAAAGTGGATTAAAGAGGTCTCGAATCTCTCTTTTCAGGCAGAGAGTATGCTTTCATGTGACAAACAGGCTTTTTCTTCGTGTTTTTTACAAATAGTTAGGTCTCTAATTTTCGAGATTTCAAAATTATTTCTTTGCCTCTCCCGCCGGCGGACCTTGTCCGGGTACTTGTACCCTGTGACGTCGGGGTTCCGGGAATCGCGGAACGATAGAGGGGATCCCGCGACTTTCGTCAGCGGCCCTCTGACGACGCGAGGGGCGATTCCCGACGGGGGTCACTGCGCGGGGCCCCTCCCTGCTGGGGGTCGCGATAGTCCCCCATCAGACGTCACGGCGCACCGTTGCGCCACCGGCCCCGACCTCGCGCTCCCGCCCGACCTCTTCCGGCCGCTTCGCCAGCTGCTCTGTCGCCAAGGGGCTCACGACGCCGCCAAGGGCCCGCCCCCGCCACCGCCGCCTCTAGAGGCTCTCATGGGCTCACCGGTTGGATGGGTGATAGTGATACCGGGCGCGTAAACTACTGAGGGCCTGTAGTTACTGTCCTGTAAGAGTAGTGCATGTTTTTTTCCTCGGGAGTTTCCTCGCCGGGTGGCGAGATCAGGTTCCGCCCTATCGTGGTTTCCCTCAACTAGGTATCTCCCAACATCGGGCCACAGTCCCAGCTGGGACAAGTTGTAAACTCCTAGCCGGTCTTCGGGAATGCGTGGTAGAGTAGTACATGTTAGTTATGTGTTCTCGGTACATGGGCTGAGGATAGACTGCGCGTAAAGAGGAAGAGGAAGGAAAGATCGCGCGTGGTTCGTGGCCCGTTTGTTAGGGTACTTCTCCAGCATTCCCCTGGTGTTAATCGGAGAAACCACGGAAAACTACTAATCAGAACAACCAGCATCTACAATTCTCCTCCAGGCTGCGACTGAATTCGCCCTAGCTGACAACCTAGTGCCGAAAATCTAGCCACTGTCTGGACTCGCAACTAGGACCTCCCGATCAGAGGCACTGGAGTGACATCGGCTGTTGCACTGAGACACCTCTCCCGGTGTGAGCTTGCTCCGGCTAGGGCGGTGCCCCGCTGGTAGGAGATATCTGGTTGGGGAAAACACCACCAGCCGATGGTAGGTCGGCGACAGATCTCACCATCTATCGGGGGAAGATCACCGCCATTTCCGTAGTAGAACATGCACTTGACTTATGGGGCTAAGGAGCAGTTGATGCGCCGAGGTCACTAATTAATGGCTTGTGATCCCGCTCGGATACCCAGCAGCTCATCCGCCCTCTGGCTTGCCCATCTATACACCCACCCACGTGGCTGTTTCCCCGCTGCTCGCCGCCTTACTCGCACGTCCCCTCATCCCTATCAGGCGGTTTTAGGTATGGCTCCTAAGGAGTTGTTTGTTTTCCGTCTCACATTCATTAGACCTTAATTTAGGAGTGATTACTGAACATGTCTTAATGTGTTATTTTTTTAACGGCAACAGAGTTCAACACCATTTCAAGAGGCTTTCCCGCAAGGGCAGGCCGCTTTCCCGCTGCTCACCGCCCAAGGGCAGGCCGCTTTCAGGCAAGCTGCTTTCCCGCTGCTCGTGGATGCCCCCTCCCCGCTGCTCGCCGCCTTACTCGCACGTCTCCTCATCCCTATCAGTCGCTTTTAGGTATGGCTCCTAAGGAGTTGTTTGCTTTCCGTCTCACGTTCATTAGACCTTAATTTAGGAGTGATTACGGAACATGTCTTAATATGTTATTTTTTAACGGCAACAGAGTTCAATACCATTTCAAGAGGAACACACACAAGCCACCCGCTAATAAGCCTCCTCACCCTGGGAACTAATCCTTTGCCTGCCACGACAAGTGTTGAAGCTGAAGAGGGAAGTCAGGATTTGCCATCTTGATGGACAGTGTACTTTTAGGGGAGTGTCATTTTTTAAAGTTTATCTTTTTAAACCTATGAAAAACATCTTGTCTTAGACGTGAATTCTGAAATTTTTCTTTTTTTTCTTTTGATCGTCATTGAGTTTTAGCGATGGTTCTTAAATAGATATTTTTATTATCCTACCCTATTTTCTTCTATCACTACCTAAAATAAACTATATTTAAGATTCATTTCTTTCTTTCTTCCTTGAAGGACAGAAGAGGTAAATTGCGTTTTAAGGGTTACAAACTCATGGCCTACTCCTGCTCAAACTGCTCTTCGATTTGTATCGTCAGCGATGGCTTTTTATATTCATATGTCACTCTCTGCAAATGGAACCCGTGAAGCCGTTTCCCAACCCCGCAAGGGGTATCGCTGCACGCTACGATAAATGATTTCTCCACCCTGGATATAAATACTACGGGTTTTAGATACAAACATTGTCGGTTAATAATGTACACAAATATTGCACACACTTCTTCTCAGTTCATAACAACACTTGGTGTATTAAACGTTAAGTATATTTAGCATTCAAAAAAATATTGGATCTTATTGGAAACGTTAAATTACTTGTACATGACAATTTCATGTCGATGAACATTAGCGTTGTGTTTGTGAATAAGTGCAATAAGCTGAGAGAAAAAACAAGGGTTGTAGCGAAAAAGACAAAAAAATAATAATTTAGAACTGATGTTATAAAGCATGTTTATAATTTTTATATTGAAATAATTTTAATTATAATAAAAATGTTTATAAAACTGTTTTACAAGAAAATTAACAAAATTTAGCTGGGAACATGTTTTGACACAATTAAGTTTTGAAGTGAAGTATTGTAAAGTGATAATGATTGTGTTTTTTTTTCGAAGAGTTAGGAGGCGTCTATTTCCCTCCTGCGATCACTTTCATTTTACCGTCATTAATTACAAGTCATAAAGACTGCCGTTCCATGTAAAGATGTAAATGTTTACCCCTTCCACTAGAGGTATATGTTTTGAAAAAATAAGTGCAATAATATTATTATCTTTTAATTCAGAAAGGATTTTTTTATTTGCTGGCCCAAGATATTGGGTTAACCTTATATCCATTTGTGGAAAAATGCAAAGAATATTTTTAAAGAATATTATAATTTTGTAAAATGAGACATATTTGTGAATTTAGATTATTATTTGGGCAAATAACTCTTTTAGGGAGCACTAGGCCGGGATAAAGCAATTACATGTAGAAGAAAGATTGTATTTCTTAATTCATAAGAGGCCATTTTACACTGGGTATGATGTAATAAGCTCTCTACCGGAAGTAGATATTTAAAGCATTTTGTTGGTCAAAGATATTCAAACGTATTGCATTACGTTTCATATTTCATCACTTGAAATTATTTCACAAGTCATGAACTGACGATGCTGTATCTACGCCTTATGTCAATACAACTGAGTCATTGAGCATTCAAACACGATATTATAGTTCATTTGAATGATAGATAGAAACTTCGAAAAAACGCTTCATAAAACATGAATGTTTCTGTTCTAGAGCACATAAACACCTGTTGCATTTCTTTCTAGTTGACAGTATACTTGAACGTTCTAATGAGGACAGCTTAAAGTATTAATTTTTGAATGAAATATGCAAGTTTTTTTTAAAAATTGATATCTACAAACAGGGGCGGAATCAGAAAAAAATATTTCAAGGGATGATTTCAATTTACCCCTCTCATAACAAAAAATATTTTTGAAACATTACAAAGAATAAAGAACGTTATCTTGGAGTTTAAAAAAATACATTCGTAATCTGAATACTACTTTATGACGAGATATTTTTAATAACTGAAATAAAATTATATTGACTTTCGAGCTGGGGCCCTTGCCCCAAATACCCCTTCTTTTTCACCAAATTCACACACACACACACACACACACCCTATCCCACTTGTCAAAGGCTTTAGAACTAAACTGTGTATTCTCGATAAAGCAAATTAAAACACTAAAAATAAACAAAATTAAAATAAGGTATACTAATTCTCATGTGACTGTTGAATGAAGTCTTGTTGTAATTACATCGACGGGTCCTTTTGTCGCTACTCTGTATGACGTGTTTTCTCAATCAATTCGATATCTTAACGATTATCTTTTCAGAAAAATCCGCACTTGCTTCAAAACGTGAAGTGCGAGAAGAGGCTATTACCGCGTAGCATTTCTGCGCTCTGAGAGGGCTCTTCTCTTTAACGGCGGGCGATAACGGAATGGATGCGTAGGCTTCAGTGGAGTCCGCGCTCACTTGCGCGCCGCTGAACGGGATAAGGAAAGGGCCCGGGGCGGCGGCGGGCGGCGCAGATGTGCGGGTGGCGGAGGGGCTGTCGGAGCCTTGCAGTCGCTTTCGACAGACGCGCAGCGGGCGATTAGCACTCGTTGCTCACTCGACTCGTTCCTTTCATGTCCGAGAGGATCAGTTCCGGGACGTTGCCCGTTTTATACCAAGATGCTGATGTATTCGGATGCGTCGTTTGATAAGGGTATTAAGATAGTATGGTTTAATTGAAGTGCACATATCGCGCTTAGTGTTTCATTTCTTTTTTCAGAATATATTCGTATAATGATATAGGCAATTTTCGTAGTTCAACCCAAGTTTATCGTCTGCATAGTTCATTAATAAAATATGCTTCATGTGAGCATAAAAGTTTCGCAATCTACTCAAAATCTATTCAAAATCACAAAGACAAATATTTGCGTTTTTGAAATTTATAAGTTCTTAATACACAACGTTTCGTCTCACAAGGTTTTTCAGCATTCATCAGATAACATCTAAAATTAAGATAATAACTGACAATAATGACCACGCAAAAATCCACTATTTTGCTTTTTATTAAGAGTTGATAGTAATGAATTGCTTTCATTGACTTTCACACACCTCTACTAATCAGTGAATCTACCAATCCTCTCTCCTTTTCTTCTTCTATGCAGGCCACCGACGTAGATGAATCAGGCCATTAATGGATATCCCTGCTGTGCCTTTGATCTCATTCAACATTTTAGTAGTTTTCGCGCAATATTGCGTGCAATGTGTGCCCTTTTAAAAAATAACAAAAACAAGATTTATCGAAAACTGATACTCATTTTTTCTTTAAGCTTTTGGTAGGGATTGTGCTAAATGTACACTATGAGGTGACGTAAACGCCATATTTATCTATTCTTTGTTTTTTTGAAAAATTACAAAAATGTATTTTTTTTATTTGTCTCTCACGTCGTTAATATTTACTTTACCGGTAATTTGTTCACATTATTATATTTATGAGTAAAAATAAACACTCAAAAGCCATTTTCTCAAAAACGGCTACACATTTTTTCTTCAAACTTTTAGAACGGATAGTGCCAATTGCCCTCTTTAATATGTCGTAAACTTCATTTCAGGGTATTTTTTGCTTTTCCAAAAAGTCCACTAATGTATTTTTTTTAGATTACTCACGCCGTTAATAAGCACATTTCCAGCAATTTGTAAACAGTATTGTATTTATGAGTTAAATAGCTTCAAATTACTTCTAATGAATTTTTCCGTAAACTCAATAATGTTGTGTGGAAAGAGCTTCAAATTTCGAATTTACAGTAGCGCTTAAAAGCCATTTTCTTAATAACGGCTTTCAATTATTCAAAGAAAATGGTCATTTAGGACGAGATTTTATTGTTCTTGAATATTCTTAAAATAATATTTCCGTTCTAAAATTAGGAAACATAAAAATTGAGAATAAAAAATGTATTTTTGGCAGCGATAGATGGCATCCAGGAAGAGTATGTGGCAAGTCCGAATAGCTAGCCAAGACCAAAGGAAATAGAAAAATAATACGGTTAAGTCTGTGCCATTGTGTAGTGTCACTAATTTTGTATGTGAAAGCAACTGTAACACTTTTGTTGAAAGGAAGGAAAATATATTATCATTAGTCTGACAATAATTAAATGTAAAAAATGCGTGCAATTTATTTTTTATGTTATTTAGATGAGATAAATATGATATTTCCCTATTAGACACAACTTCCCTCATTAATTTATTAATATTACGTTATCAACATCATCGTGTACTTTGATTCTTCCTAAAATGCTGTCATTTGGCCTTTTCCGCCACATGTGTCTGTCCGATTATCGAAGGGAAAAATGTGTATTTGTAGCTTTCACTTACGTAATGTGTTTCATAAGTAACGAAGGACGGAAATTTTTTAATTTTCTCACGCAGAAGAAAATATTTATGGTTGCCATCTAAATGGAGGCAAACGTGTTTGTACATGTTAAATAGATGTTACAAACTTCAGATGTCATAAAAATTGAGAATACTAAAGAACTTCTAATGGCTTTCCATTAGTGAATTCCTATTAATGTTTGTGGACAAAGTACTATACAGAGGGTCCAGAAGCTCTCGTTACAAACCAAGTGTTTTATGATGCAACCGCCACCCCCTTCTTACGTTTTGGAAAAAAAACCAAACGCCCTGGCTGGCTCTGGGGTGTGGTGCATGAATTACCCCCCCCCCCTGATCGAGTGCAGATGATTGTGAAAAAATGGTTAAATGAGTAATCTGCAATGAACCTGCCCCAGTTCGTTACTTTGTAACCTTTACTCACTAATTTCTTCACTATTGTGATCTCAGAGTTACTCGAATAATTGGAAATTGAACAAATTCGAAGTGTTCTTAAAACAAAACATATTTATCAAGAAACAACTACAAGAAACTAAAACAGAAAGTCTGTGCCGTTTTGTAGAACCACTAGTTAGATATTGTTACGTCTAGGATGTTTGGAATAATATTCTGGTCACAATGATAAAGTGTGGGTTCTGATGGCGCATGTATATCAGCGTTATAATTTTGTAATAAGTTTATTAGTTTTTCTCCTACATTATTTGTTGAATTACAGCCCCATACAATATTTTTACAGTTTAGATGTCCCGCAATTAGTTTTGATGTATTACTATTTACAATGCTTTTTAGCGTCTTTTCTGGGAATTTTTTATTTGGTGGTTTATAGGCCATTATTATAATGACTCTAATGAACTAAGCTGATATGTACCGACCGCTTCTAAGTTAACAGAGTATGGTATAATCAATTCATAATGTTGAATGCTTTTTTAATATTAATGCTACACTAGAACATTAAATTTTAAATTACTATGAAGATGGCTCCAATGTCCATTGCCCAATTTGAATGGAAGAACCTGAACTCATTTTCATTCATTTTCATCTCGTTTCCATTCCAGTTTAAAATGTTGATATTATTTGTTATAATTTCTGGTATTATATAATTCTTAGAATATTTGTTTGCTATGTGATGCACTATAGACGCAATGACTTGTGTTACTTTTTCTGTAATTTGGTTTTTTGTTATGTTTGCATTTGAAGTAACCGTTTGCGAGAAATCCGGTATGCGCAATCTTTGTGGTAGAAGAGGAAATTCTGTTCTGTTTAGTGGTCTTCCTTCGTCTCGTTTATGTTTTCTAGCATTAAATGACTAGAACTTCGCATACTAATATCTGTACATAAATAATAAGAGTACTAAAATTTGATGCAAAACTAAATGGTTCGTATTAGATGTTTTAATTATATTTTATGGTTTCCCATGCTTAATTAATTATGTATTAAATTCCAACATAGTTTAAAACATGAAATTATTAATTTTTATTCGCCAAGGACAAAAAACACGAAAACTTAAAAAAATAGAATGCAATAAAAGAATAAAAAAAACTTGGCATATTTTATAAATGCATTGATACCTCTTCTTTTATTTTAATTATTTACATACTATATAATTATTAATGTTACTTCTAATAATGTAACGAACACATTTAGCACCATAGAAATCATTCTTCGGATATTTTTAAAATTGCGTCTTAAATAAATGCAATCATATTCATTTGTTTATATTCAAAACTGAAAATTCATTTCCTCTTTTTGTTCTATTTATTTCTTTGGACTGAATGTTACGGAAGGGCGTAACTAATTGTAGAAATTATTCAGTTTCTACAGAAATTCTTAGGCATAATTGAGTAGAGTTAAAAAGATATAGACTTATTTATCCTTGAAGAATCTCATAAAACTAAAGTGTACTTTCTTTTAGAAGAAGCAAAACGCCAGACATTTCATACATCCGTTGTTTACACCGAGTGTCAACACTCGAAACACGAACCGAGATTAACTAGTTGCACTAAATAATCTTTTAAACTCCGAAACAGTTTTATTCGGTCCATTTTCCTGCATAAAATTTAAAAACATAGATAAATTAACAATTTTGAGTTACCTTTTACTTCTGAAATGGCTTTTAACGGTTTCAGTTTTAGTTTGACGTCTCGCTTTTGAATATCTTTTTTTTTTGGGGGGGGGGGGCAATTCCGACCTCCCATGCGGAAAGAACCCGATGCTGAGATCGAGAGAGAAAGCGCGAGGGGGAAACAAGGGAGCCTGAGCGAACATATCTCTCGCCACGTGCGCGGCGCCGGGCGCGTCTGTGCAGAGTGAACGGGGAAAGCGCCGATGAGCTCCGTGGACTTCGCTCGGCCGATAGCAAACGAGCGACGGCTGGGCGCCGGAGGCGTCGTTCGCGAAGTACGCCGTATCGCAAACGCCGCGCGATAACCCCGTTGCGGCATCTATTTCGGGAAGGAATTTCTATTGGACGAAAAAAATGTTTGTGTGTCAACGTTTTATGGGTAGTTGGATTCTGGATTGCTTATTATTTGCCGATAAATGAGGGTTTCTTTTAATACGGGCCGTGTAGTATTGATTGTAAGTCTCGGTAATCGTCGCTGGTTCAATAAGGCTCTTAAGATGTGGGTGATTTATGGTAGTTCATATTTTCATCCTTAGGGCTATTCTTGAAGTAACATTTCCATTTACATTTTAAAATTGGAAGCAATAGCAAAGACATTTAAAATGTATTTAATACTTACAATTTTGACGAAAAAATGTGTGTATGTGTTTGAATGGGTTTTGTATATGTGTGTGAGTGTGGTTTATGTGTGTGTTTAAACTTTTATGGATAGTTGGATTCTGGATTGCTTATTGTTTATCGAGAAAAGAGGATTTCTTTTAAAACGGCCAAGTAGAATTGATTGTAAATTAGGATAATCAATGCTGTTTGAACAAGGCTGTTACAATGAGGGAGAATTATGGAACAGCTTTTTCACATTTACATACTTAGGGCTATTCATTAATGTAAAATTTCAATTTCGATTTTAACTTGGAAGAAATTTCGACGTTAATTAAAATAACGTTTAATAATTAATTTAACGTTAGCAGATTATTATACAAGGGAAAAACCAGCCATAACATACTTTATAATCGTGCATAACTCCAAATAAACGGGGGGGGGGGGTGATGTAGCCTAGGCTCTAAGACCAAGTTCTAAGATGTACCTCACGAAACAGGAACCTT